ATTTTGATTTTAAAAATTCTGAATTATATTCAGTGGCCGTACAAATTGAAGAGTGAAATGTGTGCAAGAATAAAATGTCGTTTGCAAAAAGATTTCAGAATTTAAGAGATTACGTGACAGGTAGTCCTATGAAGGTTGAAAGAATTATTGCTATACAGATTGCGAAAAATATTGATTAATAAATTTTTTTCAAAACGGAGATTTTATTCATAGAATCTTATAGAATTCGGATTCTAGAAAACACTGACAAGCCTCAGTGTGGGCGCGTAGCCAACTCGTTATATTATTTACACTAATTACAAAGAACAAATAGTTGTACTTTAATAAATTTGTATACGATTGTTAAACAGGTACAAAATTTTCTTAAATATAAATACGCAAAGGAACGTACAAAAATTTAGATGCCGTAAAATTTACAAAATTGATATCTTTAAATATCTGATGTGGATACCAAATGACTTCCTTGTACGCCCTAGAACTTCATTAGCTTTTCATATTGCTCATTCAATTAATTCGGTTTTCACTTCGTGGCAAGGCAAAAAAATACATAAAAATTCTAAACACCGTCATTAAAAATTATAAAATACAGAAAAACCTAAAACACCAAACAGTGTTTAAAAAAATTATAACGAATGTTAGAGTTTCTACGCAAAAACAAACAATTTGGTCAGCGACAGATTTTTCAGAATGAAGGACAGATTTTTCAGTGCTCAAAATTGAAATTTTACCTTTGGTCCCACTCGGCAAAAATACACTGCTGATTTAATTTACTATTCTGCTAAGAGCTTCAAATATAAACGACTGGCGGCCTCGTTAGGCTTAGCTCCACTTAAACAACTTTTAAAGTTCTGATAACCTGAACGGAAACATAAGAACATAATTCAACAACTTTTAAAGCAAACAATGCACAATTTTCAATATATAACAATAGAAATCTGAACTCACCGAGCCGGGTAACAGAGTGCATATAACATATGCATACCCACCCACTTTGTTATCTTTTGGTGACCGACTGCAACTAAAAAGGGAGATGCACAACTACATGTTATAGCTGTCCAATATGCAGAATTTCAACGTTTTTGAGTTATGCAAGATACATGGATATGTACGTACAGTGATCACGAGAAAAAATCGCTTCTGAACCCATTTTAAATCCCTTTTACAGTCAGCTTTGGAAAAAAGAGTCCTTTATTCTGTTCGTAAGTACTGATGTCACACAAAAACGTTGTTCAAATGGATTAGAGAGCTGTCAAAATGGATATTTTCGTTGAAATATGATACCGGAAATTAGTCTGGATTACAATACTTCCTTTACTTCGCACAAGGGAGTATAAATGTCCAAACTTGAATCTTTGCGTCATTTGAATAATTTTTTTGTGTGGAAGTATATTTCTACGACATAGGCTGCGAAAATAAAAACCGAGTTTCTATTTTTGTGGACAGAGTACGTATTTTATATCCATACTCATATGTTTAAAAGTAATTATTTGGCTTATTTTGAATTTGAGCCCACCAGCGGCAGAGCGGTAAAGTCGCTGAACACTGGTAGTTCAGTCCGAGTTCCGTATCCTGCGAACGGGCTGGCTGCATGGGCGTTTTCGTTGTTTTCCCCCATGTGTAATGTATATACGAGCCAGTTTCTCTTGGAAAGTCCTCCACGAATGCATTCCTCCCTTTAGGCAGATAGCCCTCGAGGCTTTGCCATAATCACACACACCTACACCTATTTTGAATTTGTGTAACTTATAGATATTGATACATAATGAGGACAATTGGCAGAATATTCATTTAATTTAGCACTACTATACTTTTTTTGGTATAGGAATCTAAAAGGTCTAGAATAGGCAATAATAATAATAAGCAATGAAGCCAAACTCGAAAATCTGATTAACTGGGTACTTTAGAAAATGCCAATAAGTGCGCTTCAGGAAAAAAAATTATCGCTCCCAGCTCTGTAGAAAATCGAAGTTTGCTACGTGAAGACCGATAAATAGATAGAACCAATCCTTTCTGGCATTTATTTCTAAATAAACAATATTTGTTTCATATAAAAATAATGCAAAGTTTAGATAGGAAAACTAAATTGTCAAAAAACGTTGTTGTTACTCATGCTCTTAATCTGAAACAGTTAAGTAATTATTATTTTCAAGAATATTTTAAATTGCATGTTCCTAAAAGACTGGTGAAGGAAAGAAAATGCAGCATATGTTTGAAAATAAGATCCCAACACGTATTACAAGACCTTCGTTGCATTTTAGAGAAAAATGTAAGAAATAAATGAATATATGAAGAAAAAAATGTATGAAATAAATATTTGATAAGGGCGTGTTTCCGTTTAGAATTAATTTGATTCTTATCAGAATGAATGATACATAAACCGCCGAATTAAATAGAATATTTTACTACGGCGGGGGAAGAGAAACTATTCAAAAGAAATTGTTTTTTATTTGCTTACGGGCATATCAGTGAAAACAGTATATAGTGGCCAAAACTGAAATCACTCAGTAAGACGTAGCTGTTGTAATTAGCGTTAGTGTAGTAGTTTATAATTGTATATGGTAATTGTGTGAGTAATTTATTTAATCTTTTAACGGTATAATTATATAGTATGGTAGTTAAACTACTTTTTCCAGTCCTGCAATTTCATTTATAAAAATACCCTTTATAAAACTCTAGCAAATTTAAGTAAAAAATATAGCAAAAAATAGAATATTATTTTGGAGTATATACAATAATTCCCGCTTGTTTAGAATTTTCAACTTTATACCTGTTTTGTAATCAATCGTTTACTTCAAATCGCATCTTATTAAAGCTGAAATTTTCCTGCACATTGTAGAGTCATCAGGAATTTTTTGATATCAGAAAACGTAAAAACTGAGCAATGCTCTCACCGAAATGTGAACCTGGACCTCTCGAATACACGCCGAGTGTGCTAACAGTTACACCACGAAGGTATGCAGAAAGGACGGAGAAAATACCTTATATACTTCCTCTTGTAAAAGGCGACTAGGGATTAGGGGACTCATTCGCCAAATTCTGGTGGTGAAGAATCATCATCCACCACCTTTTTTTAGTTCAGGCGCCACTGTAGAAATATTAGGTTGTTTTGAAGTTTATGTTTTTTATGTGAAAAATATGCAGCAACTGAGAAAGAAGGTGCAATTTAATCTTCTAATCTATAGCCCTGTAGATTTATTTACAATAAGCCGATTCATGTTTATTATTAGTTAATTTTTAATCTCATCGAATAATTTGACTTTGTGGATAGTGTTCAGAGTAAATATAGGAAATTAGAGAGAAATTAAGAACTTAAAATTTTACAATTAACATAAAACTTACTTTAACTTAAACCTTACAATTTGTGTCATGAAATTTTATTTATTAAATGCAAAATGTGATTAAATAACTGTTTTCTTTTGCTTCATGAAAATTCAGTCATAAACTAATTTATAAGGTTTGACAGGTTTTCAAACTCGGTTTTAAAAAGTGGTTTTTAAAGTCATTTTCTCACATTCGAAAACCGGTTTAAAGAATTGATATTATTATGTAAAAATTCATTTTAAACATATTTGATTTGTTATTCATTCTATGAAACTGGTAGCAAAATTTCAGTCTGAATCTAGAAACTGACATAGTTGCAGCAACAAATGATGGATATGCTGTTATGAAAAAATTTGGCAAATAATCATCTATAATTAATCAACTGTGCTATTCACACGCTATCCACTTAGCAGTTACTGATGTGTTATACAAATATAGAGAAATGGCTGAAGCTGAAGCCGAAATAAATGTTTCAAGTAAGGAATCGGAAGATGAAGACGAATACGAATATTACGATTATGAAGCTTCTTTTTATTATGTTTGTAACTGAGAACATTCTATTTTTATTTTGTCTTACAATTACAAACAATCAGTTTCACAAATTAGAAAACCGTGTACGTTATTTGAAATTTCCAGAAAAAAGTATTCTTCAGTAAAAAAAGAAAAAGGAAAGGAATTAAATTTAATTCTTGATTGCAAAACAAGGTGGAATAGTATGGATGACATGACTGGAAGGTTTCTGGCAGTAAAAGAATGCGTTGTTTTAGCATTGAATGATATTGGTTCTTCTTATATGTGGAATGAAGCTCAATATCCTAAACTTTTAGAACTTCACAAAGTCTTGGAACCGATTCTTCTAGCAGCAGAAGGCTTAGGGCGACGAGATGCCAAATTACTAATAAGTGAATGTATATTGAATTTATGTTAAATGAACTAAAAAATTTGAACACTGAAGTAATTTTGAAATTATGTACTTTAGAAGAACGAATTCAAGAAAGAGGACAAGTAGAATTACCAACTCTTTTGCTGTATTTGCAAAATCCACAAAACATTTCTAGTCGAGCGAAGAAATCTAGTGCACTTTCTTTAGCTTCAAAAATAGAAATTAGTTACTTGGAAAGATATTGTCTGGAATATTTCCAAATTCTGATGTGGAAACCGATTCTGATGAAGAGCAAATCGAAGAAACTATTCATCAGAGTAATTTTTTTTTTTAAAACAAGCCATGGAAAAATCAATTCATAAGTTTCTTGAAGACCCCTAAGAAAAACTTAGAAATCCAACAGCCCTGAAAGCTGAATTTTCCTAATTTGAGGCAATGAATAAAAGAACAAAAAACTTAGATTTGTTATTTGATACCCTGATAACTACAAAACCAAGCTCACTAGCTAGGGAACGAGTATTTTCAGTTTAAGGCAATACTGTGTCCAAAATAAGAACGAGACTTAGCCCACCGTTGAGCAAATATTTTATGTTTTTTAAAATCCTGTTTTCTTGGAGAAATTAAAATTAGTGAAAATAATATAAATATTATTTGAAATTTTTGTTTTTGAGTTTTCGTTGTGTAAGTAATATGTATATGTAATCCTTAATTTTTTTTAATACAACTGTGCTGCAAATTAGTGTATTCTATTAATAAATTCATACATGACTAATAATATAATACCGGTTTATTTCAGGCTACTGAATATGAAGGCTGGTCATCAAAAGGATTTCACGGAAACAAGATCCATTGTATATTTCATCATTCTATTGGTCAATGCCTTATCTCAAGGCTTACCTGTCTTTGTTTTCTCGTCGTGGTTACTTTCATCATTTGTCTAACTCAAGAATTCACTTTTATGTTCACTTTCAGAAGTTATATGACAACTACGACAATGCCAAAAGACTTTGCTACGAATAATTCTAAACGGAAACTACATGAGCCTAAATTGTGGGCTAGCGATATCAGTAGTAACGAAATAAATGATTGGCGAAAAATTACTGAAGAAATTTACGTGTACTCTGCTTACTGGGAGTCGCGATTAGGAAATGCATCCTTCGTTAGAATAATAGGCGGTGCTAAAATAGTAGGAGAGAATTTAAATAACTTAAAATGTTTATTTCTGAAAAGTAAAATTCATGGTATTTATAAGGAAATTCCTTCTACGTACGAAGTTTTAATAGAACACCATAAAAAACCATGTAAAGCTGTTTACATAATGTGTTCTTCATATAACGAAAAACCACCAGCTTTTGTTGCTTTAGTACCAAATATGTGGAATAGCACATGGAGGACTAAACCTCAATGGATTGCTGTAAATCTGTTAAAAGGGAATAAAGAACCTTCAGGTATAGGAGTTTGTGTTAGACCACTTTTTAACTACACAGACGTTTTCCGTGTAGTTGAATTCATCGCTTTCTATGAAGCTCTTGGTGTTACTCATTTCACTTTCTACAGGTACGAAATTGCAAATGATATCAACAGATTAATAGAAGAAGCCCGAAATGCTAATTATTCCTTGGAAATTTTGCCTTGGAGCTTACCGCAAGAACTGAGTAGTATGTGGGCTTTAGGACAGATGGCAAGCATTAATGATTGCATTTATCGCCAGATGCAGTCATTGGCTTATGTAGTTGTTGTTGACTTGGATGAGTTTATTACCCCAAGACATGCAATAACTCTGCAACAGCTTTTATCATCACATGATATCCCAGAAAAGAAATCAGCAAGTTTTGTCTTCAGGAGTTGCGTCTTTTGTATAGAGTACGAAAGGGATATTTTCCCTGATGAAATACCTCCATTTATAACTCAAACAAGCATTCGAAGAGAAAGTACTATTTATCCTTTTCTTGTACGCACAAAATATGTCGTGAAACCACGCAGGATGGTGACTTCCGGAGTGCATCACGTCTGGGAGTTACTACCCGGATGGGAGGAACGCTTGATCCCTGCCAGCCACGTTCTTGTTCATCATTATAGAGCACAACTGTGTACAGAAGGAAGGAAGAAGCTTAAAAAGGGAGAGGTTGATGTTATGGCTAGGAAATACTTAAATCAGATGTTACGTTCAAAAATTGTATCTGTTTGGAAACGTAAATTCTGCACAAAGACCCCAATGCATGTAAATTTCTCAACACAGGCACTGAAACAGACAAGAAAATGAAGAATATATGTTTTTAAAAATATGCTCAACTGAGCAAACGGAACAAACAATGTAGTCGATATATTTAATATTATGCATAAGCTGATTTACGCACATACAATCTATGAAAGAATGAAGATATAGATATATATGAACTCCTAGAAATTCAAAGAGTTGCTTAGTTAAAATTTCAATAATTTAACTTTTAATATTTCTCTGTATGTATATGAGCATTTATTTATTATTGTGCATTTATTTATCGAGCATACATTTTGTGCATATGTAACTTTATCGCAGAAAGGTAAAATGTGATTTTTAAGAATAATGTTCCTTCTCGACTTGCATGAAATTTGTTTCAACTTAGTTAACAAGAATTTTTACCAGTACTAAAATATCATTATGTATTTTTATTCTGTATATAATTGTTGGATGACAAATATGTCAAGTCTTTTTGTAAAAACTGAAATTTATGTTACATTTAACAAGGATATATGTAAAAGAACTTAATATAAAATATACAGACATTTTAAATACACAGAATACACAAAATTCAAAGAATATATTCAGAATAAGCAAAATATATGTAAAGCACTTAATAAATAAATAATTTTATTTAATACATTTATGCATGTTTTAAGGAAACGCGTTGATAAAATAATTTCTGACCTAATATTGCTCTAAAAATTTAATTTTAAATGCTATAAATGAAAACAAGAAATATAAATCTTTTAGTAATTGAAGACCGTATATTAGTTTTGGAAAAGAATATTTATACTCATTGACCTGCATAATAATCTGAAAGATGCACAGGTTTTGCCAGAGTCCTGAATGTTACACATAAATTTAGTTTTTACATTCTTTAACATAGTGCAAGCTTCTTTTTCAACATTATTCATGTTACGATCAAACTTTTACTAACACTAAATTTATATTATGCTTTATTAAAATCTTTAAGAACTATTTCATGACATCAAATTTCACATGAAACAGTTGTAAAAAATGCTAACAGTATGTTAAATATTTTTACTGCACTGTTGAGAAATTTTCGTAGTATTTTTGCTGCCAATGTTGATTTTTTGTTTTGCTCTTCTAGTTATACTTTAAAACAAAGCGATTGTATGTAACCAGTCTGCTGACAAAGAAACATAAGCAATATTTTAAGATCTTCTTAAATCTGCTATTCATCGTCATTGTTCTTTATACGGGGGGGGATTAATTTCAAATGTTCTTCATTTTTTTGGAGATCTGCAGAAAGATTTGTGTATGTACAAAAGCATACTTTTATACTTATTCTGAAATGCAATTAAAAATTAAATATTTGTATTGAAATCTGCAACAATTACTCAATCTCTGACTATTATAAATGACTATGACTGTTATTCGTTCATCAAAATTCCTTTACAGTTAATTTAAATTACTTGCTTTAATTGCAGTAAACACAAAAATTAAAAAATGTATAAAAATGCATTTATAAATAAATAAATAACAATAATACACAGATTTTTTAATAAAATTAGCATTTGACACAAAATTTCTAATGACGTATTCAGCAGTCAAAATGATGTTAATAGACAGTTATGTCTTTAAAAGTAAAACGTTTATGTTCTACACTGCGCAGGAAAAAAAAAAAAAAAAAAAAAGAGGAACAGTTCCTATATCTGCCGTTCTACTAGGAAGATTGACAAAATTCAAATTGCGTTTTTCATGTCTCGAAAGCGCGATTTAGGATATATATTAGATTTATATATAGCGTTGTTCTAGCATAGGTATTTTGACACAAAAGCGGAATGACTTTTCCTGAAATAACATAATAATTTTTTTCCATATTTCCGTTCTACGACTCAAATTATGTATAGATATTAAAATTTGTAAAATATAGTACGAAATTTATGGCGAAATTCAAAAATTTATCTCGGCGCAATTTTTTCTATTTGCCAAGAATAATTCACTTGGCGAACTTCTTAATATAGGGCAACCAATTTTAATTTCCCTTCCCCTTTACCAGGCAGGGAAAAAGGCACATCTTTCCTGCCTTTTTACATTGTGCATGACCAGTAAAAAAGTCACATCGTTCCTACTTTCAAGTAATTTTAGCAAAGTGTCTAAACACGAAACAAACAAATATCTAATGTCTAAACAAATATGCCAAATTTCAAAACGCGCCAGTATATAAATTCGCGTTACCTTCGGAATAAAAATCTGAATAAAAAACTGTAATTTTTTGCAATTATACTTAGAAATACGTCTGCTTTAAGATGATGGTAAATTTTTTATAGATTATAATTCAAAAATTGTTTCGAAAAATTTATAACAATTATTTAAAAATAAAAATTTTAAAAATAAATCATAAAAAATGGGTGAACTTATTTTGGAACGAACTTGAATTTCGAAATGTGAAAGGAAGAATCAGATAAGTTTAATAAAAAAGGAGAGATTAATAAATATATACCAAACTCAATTAACATTGAGGAGCTAAAATTTTGAGAGCTAATTTTTTAAAAACTACTCGTGCAATTTTTACAAAACTTGGTAGTTTGGCGAAATTTGAGTCGTAGAATTGAACTATGGAAAAACATTATGGAAATACGGAAAAAAATGGTAAGTTATTTTAGAAAAATTCCGATTTTGTGTCAAAATACCTATATTAGAACAATGCTATATATAAATCTAATACATAAATAGAAGTCACGCTTTCGAGAGATGAAAAACGCAAGTTGAATTTCGTCAATCGGCCCAGTAGGGTAAAGGGAGATGTAAAATTACCCCCCCCCGGTATACCTTATTATTGTATTAACTTTGCGAGAATTCAAAGTTTAAGAGCAAATTTAAATATCGATATAGCTATATTATGTATTATTTACCTTTAAACGTTCTATAAAATAATTTTGTCAATTCTACTACTCTTGTGTAATATTTGAAACAAAGCCAGGATTATTTTACGGAAAATTATATTGTAATTGTTTCATTTCAGTCATATAATAAAATACTGTGATTGGTGCTGCCATCTATTGGTATTTAATAACATTTATCTAAATTTTGTGAAGTTTCCATCACTATGGTAAATAAAACTCCGAGATTATTTGATACGAATTTAATATTATAACCGCATAAATTCAGATTTCGGTGCTTTATTCAATATGTGGTTTTCAGTTTAACTCAAAATTCAACCGTATGACTCCCATGATCAGAGTTTATCTTCTCAGTACGTTTTCTTGAAATATTTGTAAGCTCTTTACGAAATCAGCAAAATCTCGTTTTAAACTGGATATTTAATGTACTTAACTTGGAGCTATTATTTGCAACATAAAATTTTCATGATGTTTAAATTTATGCAACGGTTTACTCCTAATGAGCATATTACATAAATATTGATTTCCGTTTGTGGAAATAGTTTATCAGAAATAATTACTTGTAAATATATGAAAGGTGTCGTGAACATCATTGTGAGTTTAAGAGAAAATAATGAGCGGTTTGTTAAAATTTAGATCAATGAAAGATCTTTTAATATATAGCATTTTAATACTACTTAGCACAGTGTAATAGGTTCATTTTACAATACGTAACATCCACAAAATGATCGTTACAACGCAGTTCGATCATCCATCTTTTGAACAACAATCTCTCTCTCGTTGCCATTCCGTAACAGAGAAACTTACCTCATATGGAATTTGATCGTGGTGCGACATTCTCCCCACCTTCAGTTTGGGGATACAAACTCAAAACAGTAACATAATGATAATACATACATACAATTTGAGATAACAATAACGTACAAATAATAATAGAAATATTTCAAAATATTAGAATGCAAATTGAAATCAATATTTTAGAGTTCAAACACAGAAAGGTTGAGTTTGTTTAGAAGTTTATAAATCCAGTTTTTTAACTGGTTTTATTTTTCGTCCTGAGCGAGACACGCGAACAGTTTCATTAGAGTCAGTATTAAGCTCAGGATTTTCAGCTACCACTTCAGGAAACTTCTGAGGTTCCGATACGACTTGCTCGTCATTTGGTACAGTCCAAAGGGTACAAACGTTGGATTGGTCTTAATATGTTTCCCTTTTCAGTTCGCAGTTTCACAAGTCTGATGATTCCATCTTTTCCTGGAAAGAGTTCCAGTACTCTCTCTAGCGGTCAATGCAGCTTTTTTTTATCATCTGTACCAATTGACACTATGTCACCTACAAGTATTTTATCTTCTCTTTTGTTAACTGAAGAACGAAGGAAACCCACATACTCCCTTCGTTTTAGATTTTCACGAACCTATTGAATATGTCTCTATCTCAAAACAATATTAGTCTTTTCAATTTGATCCAAATCAGGAACGTCATTTAATGGAATGTCCTGAAGAAGAATTGAGGGGGTCAAGGTTTTCAGCTCTTGTTCCTCGGATATGTACCCAGCATGCTTGTTAGCAATATGTTCTTGGACTATAAATCTTCTCACTGTCAGGTGTTTCAATGGTAGAATTATTGGAGAAATAAAATCTTTCGATTCTTCGTCATTTATCAATCTGGACTTTAATCGTAAAATTCCTTCTTCATCTTCAAATATTAGAAGACCTTTCAAATTTTTTCGTGTTTCTTCATTAGAGTAACTTTTCTTTTGTATTACACGGAAAATAATCCTTTGTGCATTTAACAGTTCTTCATTTTGAAGTTCCTTACATTTCTAAAGTCCTTGGCCTTTGGTTGAAAACGCAGTATCCAAGCCATAACCCTAATCATCTTTCATGGAAGAAAGTGAGAATCTAGAGAATCTTCTGGCTAACTGTAATGGAATTGACTCTAGCTCTGTGTTCCTAGCAGAGATGACTGACTTTCATTTCTCTATCTCTACTTCTTTCTCCTTAATATTTACAACTGACTTTTGCCACTGCTCCTTCGGATTCTTCAACCAAGCTGGCCCTTGCCACCACTTGCGTTTCTGAAGTTTCCTAGGTCCACAACCTCTTGATAAAATGTCTGCTGGATTCTGGTCAGTTGAAATATGGAACCAATCTTCCGAAAGTTGTCAATTTTCTAATTTCACTTATTCTGTTTGTAACGAATACCGACCACTGTTCTCGACGAGTTATCCACACAAGTAAGAACTGTGGAAGAATCTGTCCAAAAGTAAGTCTTGATGTTGGGAAGTTTTCAGAGCTTGCTTCACAGAACTAAACAGCCTAGCACCTATGGTAGCAGCCATTAATTCAAGACGTGGTATAGTAATAGTCTTCGTTGGAGTTATTCGTGATTTGGCTTGAAGTAATTGAACAGTCACATGAACCCATACTGGATTCACTTCTTAAGAAAATGCATGCCGCATAAGCTGTCTTACTGGCATCGACAAAAGTATGGATACTTAAATTGGATTCCTTCATCACACCTAACCATCTTGGATGATTTTTTATATCTTTTCATTGCAAGGAAAAGGATCAAATTTCAGTTTAGTTTTTCTCTTTCTCCATTTTCAAGGTATCTAAATTTTATCCTTTATTTGAAAATGCAGGAATTTTCCCATCCTCTGAGATCAAACATTCCTTCTTTCATTACATTAGTTGCAGATTCGATGAA